AGTATGACAATCTTCTATAGCTTAGTTCTCTTTTTCAGTAAGCGTTTACTAAATGCATGTTATTATCATGCTGTGTAAAAACATCAAACATAGGCATTATCAGGGGTAACCGAGTTACGCTCAGTCTTATAGATCTTGCTACAACTAAAAAAATTCTGGTGACCTGTTGAAGCCAGTTGATGTCTCGGCGTGTCTAAATATACGTGCATCAAGTTTGTGAATGTTCGCCAATCTTCTAATTAGGCAAAGGGAATACGGATCCGTTAAAAGTGAATGCCAGTCATAAAATTATCGACCATCCAAGTGCCTCAAAACGCATAAGGATCCAAAACACCCTATCGGACAACTAACATATTTCGTCACTACGTACCTGACTAACGAGCAGTTGAGAATCTTCATCATTAAGTTGTACGAATTACCAGCGAAGTATTCTCTCTATACATCGAACTGTTGTGAGCACTCTAGGCACCCTCAGACATAGACTTGTCATAAAGATCTGGGTTCTAGCGAGCAAAACATATATGACCGAATCTCCTTCAACCATATATGGCTCTGTTTCTGCTAGAGGAAAATTGGCTTTGCAAAACATTCTTGGATATTTCTTTATAACCAAATCTCGGATTACCTCATCCAGAAAACTGAGGCATAGCTTTATTGACATGAGGCTTCGAAGTTTCTCTTAGCTTGTCATAGAAATTGTGCGCGATGTTAATATCTCGATGAAGCATTCAATTTCTGTGTATAAAATGGTACGCTTTTCTTTATTGTATCTGTTCACTTTGAGCAAGGAATCACCATTAGCTGACACTGTCTTCTGCTGATCGATTGGACAAAACTATGGGCCGATTTATTCTTATCTGTTCGCTATGTGTTAGGTCATGAAAAAGGGGACAATTGTTAAATCACATAGCGTCCAGGTCGGAATTAATAACAATACAGCCAACAACACATGGTTATATATATATATAACCAGTTATAGTTAATTGAACATGAACTTAAGGTCTGTCTTGGCGGCTGACATATTATTTACGTGCAATCACGGCTAATTAAGCAAAGTGCACGTTTTTATCAGTCGTATACAGGCAAAAAAGTGATCTGAAAAGAAAGAAACAAGAGAGATATCATAGACAACCACTGAAAAAGATTACTGTCGATGGTACCGACTGGGACTATTCTCACTCCAATATGTAGGTGGTTCACTATAAACGACAATAGATAGCAAAGTTTACTTACGGTGTAGACAACATCACTTCCGGTAGTACCAATAAGTCCGGCTAAAGGCCGCTCATCTCTTTCGGCCAGTGCTTATACTATACGTGAATTGATGATAAGTACGCGATCCAGTGCGTAAATCGTATTTAGGCTAAATTCAAACGACATATCTAAATGCTTCCCGCTAACCCCGATAGACAGACAGGTTCGAAATGTACTTTTTACGATGATTCTCCACTCTTACTACTTGCGCCAATGCTTCAAAAGATTCACCATGTAGAGCCAGCTAATTTCAACCTAAACGCCAGACGTAATATTCCTAGAACGAATCATGAACATATATTTACACTTTGTGGGTTTTGTGAAAGAAAACTTTAATGAATACTTTGTGGCTTTCTCTTAGAGCTTCATAATGCAGGTCTATAAGTTACCTATTCTGAATGCAGACTTTTCAGTATGTAGTGAACTGAGAAATAGGAAAGTTAATAACATGAATTAGATGCAAATACGCGACTGACATTCCAAACCGGATCTATAGGTATCGTCTTTTAATAACGTTTACGTTTTCTGGGTTTTGTTTTCCGATCAAATCGTACCATTGAACAGATTCAAATCTGCAGACTGAGTGGAGAAATGTGCCAGGCATAAGTATACTAAAAGAGTCATCTGATTTCAATTAAGAAAAATGGAAGTTGTTTAACAAAATTATCAAAAGAAACCATCATTATTAGCACGGTTGATTTATATCAGACGCCATACGAGCCGTAACCTACTATATCAATAGGGGCAATCTATGTGTTAATTAACTATATAGACTTCAGCTAAGCCTTCAGCGGGCTGTCTTACACTAGGTGCCTTCTGTATTATCTTTCGACATTCGTTGTTTTATTTCGGCTATTGCCTGTGCTAAGCTGCCCAGTTGCCTTATTTGACAAGTTGTCTCCCTGATTTTGTCTGCCTAGAACAAGGACGAGGAAACATTGTTTCGACTAGAGATTGCGCGATAGGGACTCAAAGTATGTTGACACCCTCTTATTTGTAGTGGTGAACGGAGGCGTTGAGGTATCGCATTATTCCGACGAGGTGATTTACACAAGGGAAGAAAACGTACTGGCTGAAACAGCAACGGCTGGACCAATCCTTGGCAAAGGTAGGACAAGTTTTGTGGGCAACGTCATTCATCTACCACATGCTTTCTCAAAGCCCTTCATTTCTCTCTTTCCATATGTCAAACAAATATTATGTCGCGTCTTAATTGCACCCTTCGCGAACGCATTCTTTGCTCAGAATGATAAATTATTGTTCGGGCTACGTCCGTAGATGCTCTTCTATACATATTTACGCAAAGTGCAGTATAAAAAGTCATAAAAATAATGAACAATTGGAAATATTTTGCTTGTGAATTCCGGTATCCGGCACCAACAGCGATAAGGGCGTCAGTGATACTTTGGCGATCTTAGCTCAAGTGCAGACAAATCTTTGTAGAGACCGCCCGTTTTATATTCAGGCACACCTTGCAAATAATGTAATGACGTATTTCGTTCTGTCAATGGCTATAAGGTTTTGGGGATGTTTATTAGTAACAGCTTAAAAGAAGCGATGTGCCGTTTCCTTGGCCTGTTCGAGCCTTGGCCTCTAATTTCCAATACATGGCAATTGAATTGTTTCCGCTCCCTGACATCAAAAAACAATAGATTGCCCCTTGTAGATCACAAGACTCTATTATTGTTCAGAAAGACTGCTTTCAAATCTTTCTATATGTCTGTATGCTAGTGATATCGACAATTTTTAACACGGTGACCCAGGCGAGGAAAGCATAGCAGGCTGTGACTCGTACTGATTGTGTATAGTATCATACAACTTTTGTCTGCAGTTCATTTGAGAAATACATGTTCGAATTTTCCTGCATTCAAATCATGCGCAGCTATAGTAATATATAATACGCAGATGTAATATATGTGATATGTGTTGCTTCTGAAATATCCATATCAAGAGGGAAGTTGAGGATTTTATCCGTTTCGGAAGTAACTCTTATGTAGTTTATTGTCGTGTTGTCTCTTCTTTGTCTTGTTTTTGGCTTTACGTTATTTTTTCGAACACACACACACACATCACACACACGCACTAATAATGAACGCTTTGAACGGCCGTCATACCTTTTGTTTCTGTAGGGTTCGTATTAGTTCTGTAAATTTCCCTTTCTACTGGTAGCTGCAACATCAACCTGAACAAATTACAAATTGAGCATAAAAATCTACGCACTTATATCTCTGCTTTATTGTTATAATTGTCATAGAGTTATTCTGACTTTTGGGGTTTTTTCATGGAAGATATAGTCGATATTAACCTGGTAGACTATACGAGCTCTTTAGCTAGCGTAATCTACGTATTCTGTTGGTAGGTAAGGCAGGCAGCTGCAACACGACAGAGAACACCGGCATAGGCTTCAGGCGGGTGGATGCAGTTCTTCATTCCACACCGTTTCCGCTAGTGGAAACGACAATTCCTGTTTACGTATGTATATTTTTGCAATAGCGAGGCTCAGCAGGTTTTTTTTTTTAGCTGAATTGTTCCATCACCGATGACATTTACAGCCGTATGAAGCACAAAGAATAGCTGGGCTCGAATAGACGGATCTAAGTGAAGGCACTGGACCAAACACCTGCGTCATACGTGTCATGAATTTGGGATCGTTTGATCATTTAAACGGGAGAAGAAACAGGAAAAAAACACAACGAGATGACGAAGAAAAGACTTGCTACGCGACAGTGAAGAAAAAATGACCATTGAAAAATCGCAATCGCTAGGAAAGCC